GGGGCGGGCGGGAAGCCGAGCTGCGAAGACCTGTCCGCACCCCTGACAGGAGGATTGCGAGGAACGGTGCGGCGGGGCTTGCAAAGGGTTTTGCAGTCCTATTCCTGGAAAAAATAGTTATAATCAAAATATATACGTATACACACACACGGCTCTTTTAAGTGCGCCTTCAATAATCCCAAAAGCAGTCTGTGGTCTTACAAGCAGTGTTAACGGGAGGAGGGCCAGCACCCCCGGCACCCTGCAGGCACCAGCTTGGTGTTTCCAGGCTGTGGTTTGCCACCGTCCGTCGGCGTCGCCGGAGCTGGTTGTCGTAGCTGCTGCCCAATTCCCGCCCTTTGGCCCCCTCCGAGCTGCCTGTCGCGGGGAGCTGGGGCGAGACCCCACTCGTCTGTAGCCGCTGGCGAGCGGCGGGGCCGTGGCTGGGAGAGGGTGAGGAGGAAGGAGCAGCAAGCGGTTACACCTGCGCTCCAGGTGAACAGCAGCTTGTTGGCTCCAGCCTTCCATACTTCTGGGGACCCTTTGGGAGCAGTGCAAGGTTGGAAAGGATTCCTCTGCAGATGAGCCTATGTGTAAAGGCTTAAAAACCTGAATCAGTTTCAATCAGTTGTTATTGTTGTCGGACGTGTTGTTTACGGCCCTAACTTAAACATTTAGTTTTGTGTAAATGGTTGCCTGGAGCTGCCCATCGCAAGCTCTCCCCGAGAAGGCAGGGTGGTGGCAGCGGGCCCGATGGCGGCAGCTGGGTTGAACGGGGCTGCAGTCAGGTAACAGAGCAGGAGGTGTGAGGAGGTTAACATTGACCTTTTCTTTGTGTGTGTTTTTGGTTTGCGGTAAATTCTCCAGTCCTGTTCAACAAGACAAACTTCTGGTTTATCATACTCTGAAGCAGGTAATGTCAAAGTTATTGGTAGGAATATCAGTTTTGTCTTTATAGGTTTCTGTTTTAGCAGACTACGCAAGCTGCGCTCTGCAGCTATACTAGCTGTCGTTTCTTTTAAACATACTGCCTTTGGCATATCCCTGTCTCTTAAAATCATAAGGAACTTTTCATAACTATCGAATAGGGGCATGAGGGGTACATGTAGGTATTTGGGGAGAAGGCTTCTGTTTCTTCCTCAAACTACATCTATCTGTGACCTTTTCCTCTACAGATTCCCTGGGTTTTTCCATGTTCTTTAGCTTTCCTGTTGATTTTTATATGGTACGACGAGCAAGGATCAATTTAATCTTACTGGTACATCTGAAGTAAAAATCAGTTCTGCACTCTTTACTACAGTGATGCTCAGATCTATCTATGGATTGGGAGAGGGTATCAACCTTCCTTCATATCTGTCTTTAAAAGAACACTGTTTCTTACAGTGCTTTTAAAAATGCTTTTCATACTGCTTATAATAATGCCTTACATGAAATCAGTTCTGTGGTGTGTTTATATACTGAATTTGCTTTCATTCAATGCATACACAAATTGATTTGCTATGGTAAGGATGCTTGAGTGTGTGCTTGCTGATTTAATTAAGAAAAAAGCCCTTTTATCAGGTATCCTATGAAGCTAGCATAAAGAACCAGGGGGTTGCATAATTACCTATGTGTTCTTTATCAATACAATGTTTTATGTATGTACTGAGTTTGAAGCTTGGCAGTATTTTTAAACTTAGCTTGTCAGAATCAAGGAAAATATTTTTTGCTTAAAAAGAAAAAAGCTAAGGTAAGTTTAACACATAGTGTGTGTTTATAAATGACTGGAGTAAATTCTCTAAGGCTGCTTTGAGCTCTACCAGTCTGTGCAATGGACGGCATTATCCAGTCTGTGGTCTTTAGCAGGGAAGTTAGAGGAATAGGCATTGCTCCCTATATGTACACTTGCTCTCTGTAGAAAGTTTAATGAAAACTTTCCTGAAATCTGTAAGCTATATAGGTTTACCCTACCTGTTACCTTGCTCTTGCTCTTCTCACAGAAGTCTTGCTCACCTGCTAATGTGCTTTAGCTTCCAGAATTGAAAAATAGAAGCTAAATTGAGGACAGGGAAGTGGCTTGCTTTCCCCCCCCTCCCCGAACAGTAGAACTTCTAAATCAGTTTTTCTTCTCTTCCTGCTCCTCTGTGTGGGGAGGGTGCCCGTGCTCCAGATCTTTTTCCATGGTTTTGTTAGTCTTGAGTTTGTAAATTATTTACAGTTGAATGAAACAATTTGGTAAATAAACTACTTGTAAAAATAAATAATGCACAATCCTACTGATGATATTTACAAACGGTGTAGTTATAGATTATGCCATAGCTGATTACGTAGAAACTTTCTTGCCTGTACAAAATATCATGCTCCAATCAGTGCCATAGAACTGCGCGGAGGTTTGTAGACTGTCAGCTGTTACTGAATTTGTCTTTTAGTGCAACTAGGCCATACACAATTAGAAGAAATATAGGGAATTTCAGACGACTGCCTTTCTCCATATGTGTTTTTTCTGTTTGTTTGGTTTTTTTAAGAGAGATAAAACATCTTTAGGTTTTATAGGGAGTCCTAAATATGGTCCTAATATTGTCATTAAATACTGAGGGCCTGCAATTGAGATCTGTGGTAATATTTTACTAGAATCTTTCTAAAACAGGAGACAGTTTGGTGATGCTTTTTCTTAAATGTTTTGAGTGTTAATGAAGAATGAATTGCCTTAGAATTCCATATTGCTAGGTGAAGTTAGAGAGGAAAGAAAATGCAAGTTGGAGAGAGGGAAAACCACAAGGTAACAGTGTGAGCTTGCATTGTTTGGTTTTTTTCTTGTCATTGTTCTTGGTGTTTTTTTTCTTTTAAGACCTAATTTTTGGAAGAGAGTCTTTCATTACAGAAGCTAAAATATTAATTATTTAGATAATATTTGTATGTATGACCTGTGTACAAGCCCAACACTTGTGTACATCAATAAAGATCTTCTGCAAAAGAAAGGGCCTCTCAGTACTGAAAGAAGATCTTGAAGAGAGTGAAACAAGGCTTCTGGAATTTTTTAAAATAAAAATATGCAGAAAAATTTAACTGAAAGTTACTGAGGGAGGAGATAAGCAACGTATCTTTGTGGCTTGTAACACAACTGTGATGCTTTTAGGAACTGACTTGAGGAAAAAAAATATTTTGATAATTATATAAAAATACAGAGTTAGATATAAATAATGTAATGTATTCTTCTTTTGTGCTCTGTTTTCTCAGTTATATTTAGGCTTTTAAAAGATTTGACCTGCTGTTGTAATTTTCAGATCTTAGACCTCTTGAGTTTAGTTGGAGGCTGTGGGAGAAATGTTTTTTTGAGTACTCAAATGCTCATGAGATTTTCTGCTAACCCAGAGAAGGCATTTTACAGAGTGGCTAAAAAAAATATCTGAGATTTTCTGCTAACCCAGAGAAGGCATTTTACAGAGTGGCTAGAAGATATCTCTGTAGAACAAAAAACTGAAAAGTGTTGTCACTCTGGATTTTTTTTTCCTGTTAGTAATGGCTTCCCTTTGCTTTTAAAAAAAGCCCCAAAACAACATACTTTTCTGAAAATTAGACCTTGGTCATTTTCTTTAGTTGTCAGTTGAGTCTGTTTTGTTTCTAGGCATGCCACTATTATATGAAGGTCTTAATTCTGCTAGTCTTTTAATTTGGTTCTCCTGTTTTGATGTTTTTGTGATTTCCTTCGTATGTGTACTTTTCCCATGTATTACAAAAGTAGAAGAAAGTGTGGACACGACACAGCTGTTTTTAATATTTTGATGAAAATGCCTGTGCCTTTCATATGCTGATGAAAATAGACCCAAAAGCAATAAGCCTGATGCATCAGACCTGCTGTTAGAAACTAACAGCATAGCAAATACAATTGCTCTTCTCACATACGTAGTATTTCCAAGTATCCTGCAAAATAATAGGTCATGGCACCAAATTGTAAGGCTGTTGGATGTGAGTGCATTTCCAGTTAAAGCACGGTCAGCAAAGGTTGGGTGCAGCAAAAATAAAATCTGTGACCCATTATTTTCTTGTACACATCCCATATGCAAAGCTTCCATTTCAAGTTTTGTAATTCTGGAGAGCTATTTCTCATTTGACTTCAGATTTAGCTCTGGTTGGCAAAAAACTACATTGTGGTGCTCTCCTACTCAATAGAGCTATTCCTTGTAGTTCTATCTATTTATAGTGATGAGTTTATTTTCTGCTTTGTTTTTTTTCATTGCTGTGGACTGCTTATGCACCTTCATTTTAAAAATGCAATGGCAATCGTCTGTGTATTCTGTCCAGTGTTAGGAGAAAGAAATTAAACCCAGGACATCTTTCCTTCCACATCACTGACCTATAGAATAAGCCTTTTTGTCCAGCAGGGAAACGCTAGTTGTCTTCTGTGCAATGATACAGCTCAATGGGGCTGGGTGCTGGCTTTTCTTGCACGAAGGCATTGATACCTCACTCCCCAAAGACAGTTGAGTGCAGTGGACTATGCAGGACAGCGAGCCCATGTTTCCACATATCACTCGAGCACCTGAGGATCATGTTTTGGGTTTAGTCATTTAAATTCTACAGAAGATACCCTTGGGGGTTTTTGTTGATGGTGGTGGGTTTTTTCCCATCTACAGGGACAATGAGTGGCACAGAAATTGCTTGGTGAGGGCACTGCTTGGTCTGTGAAACTTTCACTGTGGTGCTGATGGGAGGATAGGGAAGAACCCAGTCTGCCTCTAATTCTGGCAGGGGTTTGCTGGAGTGGGAGTTAAAGAAGCAACTTTGTGTACTTGTGAACACGGTATATTTGCTTTACAGTTATTGAGACATAATAAATTCATAACCCATTCTCTTGACCCCTACCATCAATACCACTGTTATTTTTCTCAGGCTTGACATGCTTGAACTAGTTATTCATAGCTATTAGCTAATAGCATATCTATTATGGTTGATTCCAGACTTGCCTCTTCCGTTAAATAAGCCTGTGTTTGTTCTTTTCTTGCAAGTTTTATTCTTAATATTTAATTTGTTCTTCATTTCAAAGGTTTTGAAGAAAAAACACTTAAAAGATGTGCATCTCCAACAAGTGTCTGTAAGAAGGTTTGCATCGTTCAAACTCTTTTCAATAGAAAACCAGAATACAGAAGAGGAAACTGCGACCTGGGTTCAGTACAAAAGCATCTTTTATCCTGAATACAGTGTGTCCTTAAGGTAACTATCATTTAAGTTTTAAGTACTTCCTAAGATCTTGTATGGGCCTCAAATATAAAACTCATTAGCCATTCTTCCAGTGTTTTGTGTAACTAGGGCATAGTTTACAAATAAACTGTTAGATGTTATTTTTAGTTGTTTGTTACAGTAAGCAGCTTGTCTGCATTTTTTTTTTTTTTGGTACATTTCACATTGCCATTTTTACATTGCCACAGCTTGAATGAAAATACTGATGACTGTGCCTATAACAGAATGCAAATATGAGCATTTATTACGTATTTCTAATAACTTTCTGTTTTGACATCCTTGTGATATAAATAGGATGTAAAAAAACCTGAACACATTTACTTGTAATCTTAATAAAAATTTTAATGACATGATGTTATTCATAAAGTTCTAAAAGCTTTTTGGTAGTGATCTATATTTTATTCAATTTTCTTCTTAATAGTTCATGTAAAACTCAATGACAATTTGTAACCAATTTGCAAAACAAAAGAATAAAAAAATTCCTTTTACTATAGAAATGATTTATACCTAATGAAGAAATCTGTTTTATAATAGAGCAGGTAAAACAAATAAAGATATCTGTATTAAAAAGCAACAAAACACAAAACAAAAAAACCCCCCAAAACCCCCCCCCCCAAAAAAAAAAAACAGGTAGGGAGTATCTCCTGCTTTGGTCTCCTTTTCCTTGTTCAGTTTTGTACATATCTATAACTTGGTTTTGCCTCAACAGGTATTATTGCAACAGTAACTTAAGCATCCCTGAATCAATACTTGTTTTGCAGCCTCTAATTAGCCCTGCTGAGGGTGTAGGATTTTGCGTTCTGTGCACAGTAGAGAATATTCTGGAGAGCCTGAGTCATCAAAATTTTAAAGTGCATTTTTATTGAACTGGAACCTTTAAATTAAAGTCAATCTTAGAAACTAAGATCTAACACAAACAAGTGACCATCATTAACTGTGACATTTTTGCAAGATTATAAAACAAAACAACAAAAAGAAAACAAACAAACAAACAAAAACGCAACCCCACAACACTACATGCAGGTTGCCTTAAATTTGCAGCTGGGTGAAAAGTCAAATACAAAATTGTTTAGAGCTTGATAAAACCTTAATTTTCCATTTTCCAAGCTTATACTTATTGATGCTAAAAGGCTTCAAAAGGAAACTTTTCCATTTGAAAATGCTGCCTATTTGTAATAGAAGGTAGGTACAGTGTTTTTTGTGCATATGGACTTTTCAATGAACTTCTGGGGAATGCCACAGATTCATCCAGATGCTCACAGTCTACCTAATCTCTTTGTGCAGTGTCTTGTTCCCTGGTTTTAGGCCTTCAGAGGCACATTGGTAATGGGAAATGTAAGACGTTTAGGTAGAATTTAGGCTAAGCCAGTCTGCAATCCTGTACGCTGCAGTCCTGAATGTCTTCATTCAGTCTCCTCAGTTCACTGCCATGGTTTGCAACACTCGGCGTCACTTACTTGATTTACTAGTTACACGAGTTTTAAGGTAGGAGGCGAGCTAAGGTTCACCTGTGCCTGCAGTACAAAAGCCAAGGGAAAGTCAGGCTGATCTTCCTCTGACATTTGATCTTTGTGTACTTCTGTTTCCATCACTTTCCATGTCATCATTTTATTTGGCATTTTTATTTGGCTAATAGTAGCTTCACTGATAATAGGACACAGCTCAAACTGTAGACTGCGAACAAGCATGTTTGTTCATGCATGATTTTATTATTGGTGATCATTATATAGTATTCTAAGTGTGAGGATTTTGTTTTAACCTTTTATGTTCCTCTGAGCTTGGCCAATGGAAATGTACAGTTCCTGTGCTGGAGCAGGCTCACATTGGGTTTCAAAAACTGTATGTTGAGGAGAATAGGGAGATTGTCTCCTGGTGGGGATTTTTATTTTTGGTTTTTTTCCCTGTAATTTATTCCGTTCTAGAAGATACTCGGTGATCTATAAAAGCGGTAATCACTGGTTGTTTTAGGAATAATGGTCAGAACTTACTTACACTTCTATATTAAAATGTTTTCTCTCTATATTGAAGTAGTGGCAATAGATAGTATATACTTATTTTTTCAAAATATTGCAGGATGGTGAAGAAGGGAAGAAGAAAATACTCGCTGTACATTTTGCCAGGGACAAAGTATAAACTCTGCAAAAAAAATCTGCTTTACCTTAAGTCTGTATTAAATAAAGTTTTTCTCTGTTTTTGCAGAAGCAGTAATTTAGGAGGGTAAACATAACAGTTTAACATACATAATAGAGCAACAGTTCTCCTTGCTGAAACTTGCATGTCTAGAAGATGAGAAATCTTGGAGTAGTTGTTCCTGGATCTTTGAGAACTGATGATGTCTTGGAAACTTAAGGATCCTCTGTATGTTTGACAGTCTTCCCTTCATTTTTCTCCTCCCATTGGCAAAATATTAATTATCATCATTTTCATCAATAGAAACAATTTTAACAAGATAACAAGAGTATATTATTAGCATGTTATTAACAATAGCATCAGTCAGGTAAACTCAGAACAATGTGCTTGAGTAGGAGAGCCTTTTTATGTGTCTTTTTGTCAGGAAAAATGTTGCTATGGCCCCTCTAAAATCTGGACAAAAGTGCTTTTGAATTTTCATCTACATATGTCTTCCTTATGCATTAACATCTTCTTGGGAAAGCTCATTACATATGTTGGATGTTAAAAGGGTTGTCAGCTAACATCTTGACAAGACTAAATACTTAAGAAAGTTCATAAGGTTGTTAGTGGCTTTTGGCAAAGAGTATAAAGGTCAACCTATATCAGTTCAAGGGCTATCAAGACTGATCAAATTGTATATTCAGATATGCTATGACCTAGCTGGAATTACTGCTCTAGAGAGACTTGGGGACCAGTTTGTTAGGCAAGTAGAAGCTTCAGTAGGAGCTACCAGTGTTGTGCATGCTTTTCTGAACTTCTCAATGCAGCTTGTTTTAATAAGTTGCTTTTTTTCTAACCAAAATCAGGTTGGATTCACATTTGGGAAAGAAGAGCTTATGCCATGTTTTTTTGTCACTAGTTTATTTTAGAATCACTCTTAATAACAAATCTTCCAAAGCAGGAAGCCAGAAGCACCAATATAAGGCAATTTTTGCTTAAAAACTTTAAGCTGGATTTACGTGTCATTTTGACTAGATCCTTGAGGTGACAACATCATTGACTCATTTAAAAAATGCCCATAACTCTTCTGGTTAAACAGTGCTCTCTAGTGTGCTTAATGAAATGTAGATTCACAATACATGGTGGATGGTGGTCTCTTGAAGTTTGTATAGGTACTAAGGTGCTTCATGGTAGCTCTGAGCTATGGAAATGAGTGTCTGATGAGTGTGATTTTTGTTAGCAGTGAAAGATGTGTCAGAAAGAAATTTCTTGTGTTATAACCCAGAATCTCATTTGATTAGTCTAGTCTCATTTGGATTTGTACCGTATTTGATGCTCCTACACACTACATCCTTGTCTTCATGATATGAATTGGGTGGCTACATATATGATACTGCTCTCTAGTGTTGTTTGCAATTAATGTTAGTTAAAAAGTAAATCCCTAAACTGACAGGAAGTCAGCCTGGGAATCGGGCTGAATGTTTATGGTAACCTAACTTGGAGAACGTAGACATATTCAGTCCAAGTGGGAATCTTGCTGCAGTTTTCACATTCAGATTTGGATACAGTAAACTGAATAATCCAGTCTGCAGATGAAAAATATAAACCTCATTTTGAGTGAAATTTCTTGCAAGCTTGCAGTGGAAAAAAATATCTTTCATTACAGATATTATCTGGCCGCCTGGGTCTTTTCTCCATTAAAAAGATGTTTTTATTCATAAAACTATCATGTTTATTCGTTAGCTTTGTTCAAGTTCTTTTTAACTTTGGGGTATTTCACTTTGCTGTTAAAAATTATGCATGTGCTAAATATGTGTTTTCTTGGTGATAGGAAGCTATAGAGTAAGTAGAGACATTTTAAAATGTTTATTTAATATTGCATTTTTAAATCCTTCTATTCTTAGGACTATGGTTTTAAATTTGAATTTTGTATGAATAGTTCTAGCAATGAAGTGATTATAGCTCATAAAGATGCAGTGTCTCACTGTGGAGACGGTGTCTGTCTTTTATTAGAGTTAAAAAAGGAGCAATCAATATCTTCAAATTTTTTATTTCAGGATATGGATTTACTTTAAAATTGTAGGCTCATTTTAAGCAATTAGAGAAGAAATAAGTTATTTCTGTGGTAAAATATTTTCCATTGATCAGTCATTTGGTGTTTCAAATACTGAAATGCAGAACTGAAAGGAACGTTGTTAGCAGCTTACGTGAAGGGTTAAAGGTTTGTAAAGAGTGTTAAGTGTTCTTTGCAAGGTGTCATGCCTTTATTCTGAATATGAATGAACCTTTAGATAAAAATATGAAAGAAATTATTAGATGATTCTAGACCTTCGGTTTAGAAATGAGAGGCATGTTATTTGTCTGTGGCAAGTGCTGTGTTAGAAGATAGTTTAGGAGAGAATTCCATCAGCTATTCCTATAGGATGTTTCTGCTACTAACATTTTGAAGTTTTAATGAATTTTTATTTTAAGGATAGACATAAAAAAATGAAGGGAAGCAGATTTCAAGGAATATTGCCTACTCCTTATGGACAATTTATGCAGATACGATAAACTTGCCTTCTTCTACTTACTGCATGCTAAGAAACAACATGTGGATTTAGCAGCATAAAGGCTTGGCCACAGAAGGAGGAAATTGAGGAAAGAGATAAAAAGTGATTTGGTAGCATACTACTTTCATTCACTGATGAAACTAAGACTGTTCCATCCTATTGCCCAAGATGTGGGTATTTGGAAAAAGAATCTGTAGTCAAAGAAGCCATTGTTTTGGTTTCTTACCATATTAAGCAGAGATCTTGAACTGGAGCGAGAGAGGAGCTATCTTGGTTTGCTATATTCTGGCCCAGAAAAAAAACAAAGTTTGCAGATAACTCTGAGATTCTTACCGAGCCACAATGACAATTGGTGGTGACGCTCACCAAGCGTTTTTGTAAAGTACCCTTAGCAGTAACTTTTTCACCCTTATTCTGTCTTTCATTTTCCACAAATATGGTAGTTCTATTTTGTATCCAGGTTAATAATGTATGGTGATGTGTTGTGGTTTTTATTCTTTTGAGTATTATATGGAAATGTACTCTATCTTAGTTTTTGTAGTTTTTTAAGGTTTATATATGTATTTAGTTATTTGTATTATTTTTCCTCATTCAGATAAAGAATAATATAAAAGAAGAAAAGGAACATTATGGTTGATGAAAAGCATACATTAATAGGGAGCTACTGAGGGATTATTTTTATTCTACTGTCTACAGCTGTTTGTAAATATATGTAAAAGTCTGCCACTTGTGTTGCCTGAATTGGAAAGGAAGGAACATTAATATATTTTAAAGATACCTCTCTGTCTCTCTTTCTCTGACTCTATTTATACATCCAAATTTGATTTATTTGTAGTCCAGAGTAAGGAATTTTGCTTTGCTTCGTATCAGAAGAAAAGTGAGTTAAATTAGTTTATCATTCATAGATTTGTCTTCTATAACTTACTGCCTCAGCCATAGAAATTTTTGAACATTATACCTTGAAGACTTATAAGAACACTGTGGATCAGATTAACCCTGCTGGCCTGAAATTCACTTTCTCCATGATGCTTACCTATACTTGTTTGAAGTACTTTGTTGATCTCAGCAACTTTGAAGTTCTTTGAACTGTACAATATTCATGACATATTCCAGAGCACTAAATACTAATGTTCTTCTGTATTTTGAGATGCCTGTGGAAATTTATGAGAATTTTGGGCTTGGGATTTAACCGCAAGCTTCTGTGATTCCTTTCCTTGACTTTCATAATTCAGTGCACGACACTTACAGACTCTTTATGGGCGGTTTTTAAGACATGCTGTGGAAAGCTGTGATCATGACAGGCGTTCACAGGGCCAAGATGTGATGTGTATTGGCAGTTTTCTCTGGGCTTGGAAATGGAGGAGCAGCTGATGGGATGGGACAGTGAAGCAGCAGCTGTTACAGAGCAGTGGATCCCAAACTAGAAGCTGTGCTTTTTAGGTGCAAGACTGAGTAGCGTGATATTTGTGGCAGAATTTGGGGTTAGAGAATACCCGTATTTACAGGTGCATGTAACTTTCAGTCTGCAAGTCAGATCCGTGATGGAAAAGAGTTGGGAAGTAGCTGGTGCAGAGGTTGTCTGCAGGCTCTACAAATACAGTCCTCCAAATGGAGAAACCTGTGGCTATTGCTGTTTGGAAGTGTGTCTCGCTGACCTCTGCCTTTCACAAGTAGATCAGCTGTTGGCACGTTGCTTTCCTCGCTCTAAAACTTGTCTGAAATAGGAGTTATGCTCAATTCTTCACTGTTTGGGTTCCCTAACCGTTAAGTGGTTACCAGTGGAATTTAAGTGCAGCTTCTTTAGCTTGGTGTAGGGAGAAAAAGCTTTATCAGCAGGGAGGGGGATTTTC